ATACATTTTGATGTTCTCACAGACCATCACAAATTGGAAGAGGTGAGTAGAGTTGATACAATGATAATCTTTGTTATCAAGCAGGCTAAAACAAATAATCAGATGGTTAAATGAGGATCACAGTCAATGTTCAGCTTATTTTTTTATGTGATTTTTTAATTTCATCATAGATACAAGTTACTAATTATTCGCTTTAATTTTTATTTACATGAATATAAAGGAACCCATGATAGCTGTGTAGCATTTTTTTTTTTTTTAGAATATATGAATTTATTTTATCTTTTACAGATGCTGCCAGCTTGACACAAATATCAGAGAAGCTTATGCTAATGGCCAAGATGCAGAACAACAGTTTATACAAAACTTAGCTCTCTTTCTCTGCACTTTCCTCAAAGAGAGAGGTTCATTGGTAGAGAGGAGACAACTCAGTGATGCCTTACTCAAGGTTGGTATGGTTTTTTTTATTTTTATGGGAGAAGAGTCAGTTTGGACATGTGCATACTGGTCTCATGAAAAACAATTGAGGGAAGGAATGCTTAGGTGTTTTGTCTTCATACATTTCCAATGTCTCTCCTGCCTTTGTGCATTTAGAAGTGAACAACACAAATATGTTTTATAAAATTAAAAGCTACAAACAAAATAAAATATGTTTTTATGTCTTGTATCTCATGTATTTAGACCAAACAGTAAGGCAGGAACAGGAATAATGCATTTGTGAGTTTTGAGGTTTCAGCTGAAACTGTAGTCTTTGTTACCTCGTCGATCTTAATTCATATTCTGTCTTTCCAGGCCCTTCAGTACCTGATCTTGATCTCTGAAGTAGATGATACAGAAATCTTTAAAATTTGTCTAGAGTACTGGAATGCTCTAGCCTCAGACCTGTACCGAGAATCCCCGTTCCTACCTCCCACTGGATCTTCTCCTCTTTATCTACCAAGACCCACCTCTAGACGGCAATTTTATCAACCTATTCTCACTAAGGTATAGTATACTTGTTGGGAACTAAAAGTGTAGATTCAAGTGAAAGAACATATTAAATATTTTCAGTGCTATGCCTACTTATTCCTTTGCATCCTCTTTTGTAATTTTCTCTTTCTCCTTATAAACTATTGCATTTTACTCTATAGGTGAGAGCTCTGATGATCAGCCGAATGGCCAAGCCTGAAGAGGTGTTGGTGGTGGAAAATGAGCAGGGTGAAGTTGTGAGAGAGTTCATGCGTGATACTGACTCCATCAACATGTACAAGAACATGCGTGAAACACTAGTTTATCTCACACATTTGGATTATGCGGATACTGAACGTATTATGACAGAAAAGCTAGGCAACCAGGTAAGGATAATTCCTTTGCTTTATTACATGTTTTATGTCTAGTGTATTCATAGTGAAACCAGTAATTGTCACCAGCAATTTATGGTTTGAAGTAGATTGCAGATATCAAGCAGACAGCATGGCAAATACTACTAACCATTCCATTGCTGCTTCACATAATTTCCAGATTGTTATTAAATGACAGTCCCCGATTTTTCAAAGATTGCCGTTTTTGTTGAATATTGTGTGAATTAGTTAATCTGAATGACTGCAGAATATTCACAAAGAATTAAATGTTTACCATCTTGACAGTAAAATGGTGAAGCTGCCAGAGTGAAGAGGTGGTGCTAGCTTGCCTGGATGCATACTTAAGACTACACTGCTTCAGCGTTATGTAAAGGGATATTCCTACTGACGCACATGCAGTTACATTTATTTATTCACTTCACAGCCATACCGTAGTCACCATGGCCTGATTATGGATGAAAATATTATCAACAAAAGTTCTTATATATCATATGTGATGATATGTGGTATATTCAGCTTTTGCTTTTACAGATAGCTTGGAAGATCTCAGATTGTTATGTGACAAGGAAATCCCGTTGTGGGTTGCTGACTTTCTTAAAAACCTCCATTTACTCTTGTTTCAGGTGAATGGCAGCGAGTGGTCGTGGCGCAACCTGAACACACTCTGCTGGGCGGTGGGCTCTATCAGTGGTGCTATGCAGAAGAAGATGAAAAGCGATTCTTGGTTATTGTTATCAAAGATCTCTTGGGTCTCTGTGAGCAAAAGAGAGGCAAAAGATAACAAAGCCATCATTGCTTCAAATATCATGTACATTGTGGGACAGTACCCAAGATTCCTTCGCATACATTGGCGCTTCCTCAAGACTGTCATCAACAAACTTTTTGAGTTCATGCATGGTGAGTATCTTGTGAGCTGTGTAGTTTTTATTGTTTTGCTCTCTCTACCAAGGGACTGAAAGAAGGTGTATTGAAATTTACCAGATAGATATGCCTCTGGAACGGCCAAAAATGCTGAAAGACCTAAACTCTGGTATGCACAGAAATGTCATAACTGGCTGGAGGGGTTTGCGTGCCATATGTACACATGTTGTGGCTTTGGTGCCGAGGACTTAGCAAAACTTTATGGCCAGAATTCCAGCTAAATCATCTGGCCACCATAGTGAAAGGCCTTAATGATTGGCCTCAAGTATCAGTGGCATGTACATGTTCCCGGTCAGATGGCCATTCTTGGCATTGTATAATGAACATGTCAGCCAGAGGCAATGAGTATATGATAAGTGATTGTCATTGGTGTTATATAATTTTATTAGAAATAATTATTTGATTTAGTTATTCTTGAGTTTAACAAAATTTCCGAAGACACATTAATGTCATTTATTTTGAATGTTAGGTCTTAAAGGGGAAAGATTTAGTACTTTTCTTCATTATTTCTTTAATTTAAAAATATTGTAAAGACTGCAATTTACCTTTTAGATTTCTGTGAGAACTTGTGATCAAGGAGAACCAAAACAATATTCATGTTGCTCTTTTCTTTTAAACAGAAACTCATGATGGTGTTCAAGACATGGCTTGTGATACCTTTATCAAGATTGCACAAAAATGCAGGCGTCAGTTTGTGCAAATGCAAGTTGGGGAAGCTATGCCATTCATTGAGGAAATCTTATCTTCCATTAATTCTATTATCTGTGACCTACAGCCTCAGCAGGTTAGTTGTGTTGAAATTTTAAATCAAATGTTGCATTTTTAGCTTTTGATAGTATTATGCCAATGGCTGCAGAAGGTGCGAATAAAGCTATGGCCTTTGTAAGTTTAGTTTACTAATTTTATTAACATAGCTGGCTCATCATGGCAATTACATGCTGAGAGTACTGGCATTGGGTTACTTAAGTGGCCGATCTGCCAGTTGTGCGGCATGTAGGCCGGGCATGCACAAACTATTCGTGTGTGGTGACAAAACTCAGTGCCTGCGCTTTGCAGTTAATTTTTATAAACGTTTTTACCTTTTTTGCCATTTTCCAATGTCCATATTTGGGTTTTGATGGTATGGTAATACACTGTTTTCCTTGCTGAGTCCATATCATATCTCTATGTAGTAACTCGGTGCAATAAAAAAAAATATATAACATTTTGTTATTTGTCATATATATATATATATATATATATATATATATATATATATATATATATATATATATATACATATATATATATATACATATATATATATATATACATATATATAATACATATATATATATACATATATATATATACATATATATATATACATATATATATATACATATATATATATATATATATATATATATATATATATATATATATATATATATATATATATATATATATATATATATAATATATATATATATATATATATATATATATATATATATATATATATAATTATTATTATTATTTTTTATTTATTTATTTATTTTTTTTGATATTCAATTTTCTGTAATACAACCTGTGCTACTGTTCATGGTGGCCAGGAATATGATACTGAGCATAGAATTGGTGTCCTTCCTGGAGCCAAGGCTTTGACTCCTGGCTTACAGACATTACATTCCACACTCATTTATCAGTAGGAATAATGCAAAAGCCACTTTCTAAACACTAAATTAGTCCAGTCACGCTCCAAATGGTTTGTGCACTCATGAGCCTTTTCCGTCACCTTGGTCACATGATGGTCACATCACTCAGATTGAAGTGGCCAGTGAAATGATTTTAGTTTTACTTTTAAAGTTTGCATTGAATATTTCTTCAAGACCTCAATGGTCAGTGTTGCCAAACATTCTAAACATGGATAATTACACTGCTTCTCATCTTTTATCTTACTTTTGCTTAGTGTAATTAGTATTTCTTCTTAACTAAATGTCATGAAATGAAAAGAAACATAAGCGTGGATGTTTTATTCCTCCCTCTTTCTTTTGCACAGGTGCACACATTCTATGAAGCGGTGGGTTACATGATAAGTGCCCAAACTGACCAGGTTGTTCAAGAACACCTAATTGAGAAATATATGATGCTACCAAACCAAGTCTGGGATGAAATCATAAATCAGGCATCTAGGGTAAGTGATAAGCTATGGTTTGACTCTAATCTGAAGAGTTACTATGTAGATCACATCTTGGAGTATTGTTTGCTTTTTGGTATAATTTTGTATTTCTTGGTTTTTATGGAGGTAATGAAGGACATTTTTATTCTATTTCCCAGAATGTGGACATCTTGAAGGATTCAGATGTTGTTAAACAGTTGGCAAACATTTTGAAGACCAATGTCAGAGCATGCAAAGCTCTGGGACATCCATTTGTGACACAGGTAAGGAATGCAGAATGAATTAGGCATTTAAGGCAGTTTCTTTCTTTTTATGAAATTTGTTAAATATGGTTCTTCTTTAGCTGTCTTGTAACAGATAAAATAACAGTTTTCTGATGCTTTTGTTCCAGCTTGGGAGAATCTATTTGGATATGCTGAATGTGTACAAGGTCATGAGTGAAAACATTAGTGCAGCTATTGCCCTCAATGGGGAAGGGGTCACTAAACAGCCCCTCATCAAATCCATGCGGGTTGTGAAGAAGGAGACCTTAAAGCTTATATCTGGCTGGGTGTCCCGGTCAGAGGATCACACACTGGTGTTGGATAACTTCATTCCCCCTCTGCTGGAAGCTGTTCTTCTCGATTACCAGGTTTGTATTGGTGGCAAGTAGATCTTGTAGGGAGGATGTTTGAGATTTGGCAGTTGTCCATAAGCATTCTTGCATTTAAGTACAACTAGTTTGCTGTTTGTCAAAACTATATATATGTATTTGGTGATTGTTAATGAATATGTAAGATTTGCATCATTCTGATTGATTGATGATTTTCCTCAATTTGATAAGCATATGTAGGCTTACATTTATCATTTTTATGGTATTTTGGAAACATAGCATCGTGCTGTGTTGGGCAGTTATTATGATGTACATACTATATCTTTCTTACATCTTTACAGCGAACGGGAGTGCCATCTGCTCGAGAACCTGAAGTTTTGTCAACTATGGCTACAATTGTCAATAAATTAGAGTCACACATCACTCTCCAAGTTCCTCAGATCTTTGATGCCGTCTTCGAGTGTACATTATCAATGATCAACAAAGATTTTGAGGAATTCCCTGAGCACAGAACAAACTTCTTCCTTCTCTTACAGGTAAGTTATTTTCTTGTTTGATTAAGAATCAGTATTATTTTGATTTACTTTTTTATCTTGTTATCAATTTATTTATTTATTTATTTGTTTATTTTTTATTTTTTTTTGAGACAGTGGTAGAATAGTGTACACTTGCTACTAAGAATAAAGGTACTATTAAATCTTTTTCATATTTTCAGGCGGTGAATACACATTGCTTCACTGCACTCCTCAATATCCCCCCAGCACAGTTCAAACTAGTATTGGACTCCATAATATGGGCATTCAAACACACAATGAGAAATGTTGCCGACACAGGCTTACAAATTCTTTACCAGCTGCTGCAGAACATTTCAACTCACGAACGGGCAGCAAGCAGTTTCTACCAGACTTACTATACAGATATTTTGCAGCATATTTTCTCAGTTGTCACAGATTCTTCTCACACAGCTGGTAAGTTGGTAAAAATATATGGTATTAGTGATATACCATAGTTCTTCATCTAACGAGTTTTTGTAGTGAATATTTAATTTTTATAGCTTTTTAGTGTTATTCATAATGGAGGTATAATTCTGAAAGTTCAAAGTAGTTTATAATCTATTATATTAATTTTTGCAGATCATGTTGAATCTTACACTATTCTGTAAATTTTTGTTAGCATAATTTTTGTCTAAGTGCTAAACAATTAGATTTCTGTCCATCATCACAGTGTGCAGTTAAGGACAAAATGAATGTTCCAGTTACTTTTGAGGGATAACCAGTTACCCCAGAATATAGCAACAGTACTTATTATTTGGTTGTTTTTATTTATTTATTTTTTATCTTTTCAGGGCTCACTATGCATGCATCAATCTTAGCCTACATGTTCACCCTGGTTGAACAAAATCGCATCACGATAAGTTTGGACCAAGCAAACCCCACAGCCCCCAGCACCAACAATGTAACATACGTGCAGGGCTTTGTAGCCAACCTCCTGAAGGCGGCGTTCCCTCACCTCACAGAGAATCAAATCAAGATTACAGTGCAAGGGATGAATGACCTGAATCAAGATGTTCCTGCCTTTAAGGAGCACCTGAGAGATTTCCTTGTACAGATCAGAGTAAGTTGTTTCTTGTTGTATTGTGAGTGTGAGAAAGTTGTTGTTCTCCTCCTCCTCCTTCTTCATCATCATCTTCATCTCCTCTTCCTCCTTCTCCTTTACCTTTTTCTCCTTCTTTTTCTTCTTCTTTTTCTTCTCAATTTACTTCTTTTTCTTCTCCTTCTTTTACTTCTTCTTTTTCTTCTCCATCTCCTCCTCCTCCTCCTTTTCCTTCTCCTTCTCCTTCTTCTTTTCCTTCTTCTCCTTCTTTTCCTTCTCTCTTCTTTTCCTTCTCCTTCTCCTTTACTTTTTCTCCTTCTTTTTCTTCTTCTTTTTCTTCTCAATTTACTTCTTTTTCTTCTCCTTCTTTTACTTCTTCTTTTTCTTCTCCATCTCCTCCTCCTCCTCCTTTCCTTCTCCTTCTCCTTCTTCTTTCCTTCTTCTCTTCTTCCTTCTCTCTTCTTTTCCTTCTCCTTCTCCTTTTTCTTCTCCTTCTCCTTCTCCTTCTCCTTCTTTTTCTTCTCCTTCTTTTTCTTCTCCTTCATTTCGTTCTCCTTCTCCTTCTCCTTCTTTTCCTTCTCCTTCTCCTCCTTTTCTTCTTCTCCTTTTTCTTCTCCTTCTCCTTGTTCTTTTTCTTCTCCTCCTTCTCCTTCTTTTTCTTCTCCTCCTTCTCCTTCTTTTTCTTCTCCTTCTCCTTCTTCTTTTTCTTCTTCTCCTTCTCCTTCTCCTTCTTCTTTTTCTTCTTCTCCTTCTTCTCCTTCTCCTTCTTCTTTTACTTCTTTTTCTTCGCCTTCTTTTACTTCTTTTTCTTCGCCTTCTTTTACTTCTTTTTCTTCGCCTTCTTTTTCTTCTCCATCTTTTTCTTCTCCATCTTTTCCTTCTCCTTCTTTTTCTTCTCCATCTTTTCCTTCTCCTTCTGTTTCTTCTTCTTTTTCTTCTCCTTCTTCTCCTTCTCCTTCTTTTTCTTCTCCTTCTTTTCCTTCTCCTTCTTTTTCTCCTTCTTCTCCTTCTCCTTCTTTTTCTTCTCCTTCTCCTTCTCCTTCTTCTTTTTTCTTCTTTTCCTTCTTCTTTTTCTTTTCCTTCCTTCTTCTTTTTCTTCTCCTTCTCTTCTCTTTTTCTCTTTTCCTTCTTCTTTTTCTTCTTTTTCTTATCCTTCTTTTACTTCTTTTTCTTATCTTTCTTTTACTTCTTCTTTTTCTTATCCTTTTTTCTTCTTCTCCTTCCTTTTTCTTCTTTTTTCTCCTCCTTCTCCTTCTCCTTCTCCTTCTTCTACTTCTACTTATTCTCCGCCTCCTACTCCTACTCCTACTCCTTCTTCTCTCCTCTCTACTCCTTCTTCCTTCTCCTCCTCCTTTTTTTCTCTTTTCTCTTTAATTAACCACTTGTCACCAGTAATGGCATGTGTATACATGCCATACCCACTTTGTGTTTAATTTAGTAATTGTTTCTAGCAGAGGCACCTATATGTAGAAACATTTAACCCACTTACGACGGGTGTCCCACATGAGACACCCGAAAAAGTCAGCATTTTGGGTGTCCCGCGATGCAACGCCGGATTAGAGTTCGTGCTCTGATTTTGTTGCCCGTGGTGGGCAGCACGCAGGCAGGTTCCCGGACTCGCCCACATGCCAATTTTTAAGCCAGCCAGAGAATAATTTTTTTGGCTTGAAAATGTACCTTCTCTAGTGTGTTATCAAAATACTAAAGTGAACGCAACATTATCCTGTTGGCATTGTATTAAGAGTTATAACACATTCTCAGAGAGGAAAAATTCCCACTTTTCCATAGTAAAGCTTAACTGAAGTGTGAAGCCTTTTCTTGGCTATAATGAAAGACCACAGTCCTTCAAAAAGGCAATTTGCCGATCTTAGAGGATAAAGTACACTAAAGCATCTCTCTGCTTTTCAGTGCTTGGACATGGAAGTGTTGGAGTTATATGTAAAGTGTATTTTAATCCATTGTGTAGCAAGAAATCATTTTTATACAATGTTTATTATTATTTATCTCTCTCTTTTTTCTTTTTTTCTTTTTTTTATATATATATACATGATGTCCAATATGAATTATTGGATATTTTTTTATATCCTGTTAACCCACTTGCGACGGGGGTCCTATATATGAGACACCCGAAAAAAAATAAACAATGCTGGGCGTCCCGCCAGTGTGACACTGTATCGGGGCTGTGCTCCAACGCAGCTGCGGGCCGCGGCCAGCGGGCGGACAGACTCTTGGGAAGCTCCGCCCGCCGATTTTGGAATGTTTTATTTTTGGCTACAAAATGTACCCGGTGTGAATGGGTTAAAATGACTATTTGTAGAGATTGTGCTGCTGCTGTTACAATATAAAATCCTAGCCAGGATATGCATGTTACTAAAGTTTCATTTCACTTTGCAGGAGGTAACCGGTGATGATGACAGTGACCTCTACCTGGAGGAGAGAGAAGCAGCTCTACGGCAAGCGCAAGAGGAGAAGCGCCGTGTGCAAATGAATGTGCCTGGCATCTTGAATCCCCATGAGATCCCTGAGGAGATGCAAGATTAAAAACCACAGTAAGAGACAGCTCGCAATCATCACTGTCCATATATATATCAAGCGACTATGTGAGACTTCATAAAGTTGACTTCGCTGTACTGTCGTTTCCATCTCATAAATGTCCGAAGGTAATATATTATTATATGTCTGGAGATTTTCACACTTTTTCTGAAGTGTGTTATCCAGATGAGAGTTAACTGCAGCAACTACATGAAATTTTTCAGATTGTAGCAAATTAAGTAATAGTCTGGGCAAAGCTGTGAATTTATGATCATATTCATAATAAGCAAGCTATCCTAACTTTGTTTCTAGTGAACATACGAGCTGTTCCATACTGGAATATTTTTTTTCCAAACCCTCCTGGAAAATATTTATTGAAGATGAGTTCATTTGTATTGTGTGGTTGTCTGATGGTTGACTTCTACTTTTTGCAGAAAATGGCATTGTATTTGGTAACAGAAGAGCATATGGTGTGAGTGATAGTGTTTTTTTTATTCTTTTTTTTTTTCAATGTTTACAGCATTGGGTCCCATAATACAGGCAAAAAGTTCCTGACAGTCATGGTTTAAAAGAGAAATGCTCTCTTCACTTACATTTTTAACAACAGATGGAACTATGCAAGTACTCTACAGTATTTTGTTCCATTATGAAGTAGCATGATAGCAGAAAATGCCTTCTGTTACATCTTTTAGGCAGAAAGGATTAGAGAGACAATATCTGTTCTGTCATCATGTTGTAATAAAATAATGCCTTTGCTTTTGCTTGTGCATGCATTGATCCCCTCATAATCATCCCTCTGTAAGCACAAACTACCCTGTATGTTAAATTGTTATAAGTCTGTATGATGCACAGTAAAAATAGTACTATTTGTTAAAAGTAAAAGACAAGGCAAGGAGTCTTTCAGAGAATGATGATTTATTCTAATAACAGAACTTTTCTTTTTAACTTTGTCTTAATGAGATAATGTAACAAAACTGTGGAGGAAGATACAAATTAACTAAGTGTTTATGAAAATGATCAAAAGATGTATATTTGATAGGCATTACTAAAAGATGATCCACTTAGGGCCCTAACAGACTTGCTACTACTGTTTCTAGCTTTGTGTTGATTTCAAGAACTCCTTACTATTATTCTTGATTTATAGTTTTTGGATTGCACTATCTGCTGTTTTATCATTTGGTTGTGAGAGAACATTTCTCTTTTGTTTTTGTTTTTTGGCATATTGTCATCATTCGTTTATTCATGAGGGATTCATCGCAATGGGAGACTTCAGATCTTTGCTTTGTTAAGATAGTCTAGGGTTAGAATTCCATTATTTTGAAGTACAATTTGGCCTCTAGACTCCTGAGAACCATTGTCTTGTCTCTTGTTTTGAAGGCGATTTGAAAACAAAGTGTTACGAGGTATGAAAAAAACATCCTTAAAAGAAACTTGCAGGAACTTTCTAAATCTTTGTTCTGTCTGCTGCTGTATTATTACTGTGGCTAGAAACATGGTATGCTTCTAAATGTATGAATTGATCTTAAGGTTTGAAGGAGTTGCAGCAATGAGACATTAATATTTATTTAATTTTTTTTTAAGTTCTCATGATTGTTTGAAGCAGCTCCTGTGTGACCAAAGTCTACATTTTATGAATGTGTGTAATGTTTGTAGTTTTAAAAGAATGTATAATTTTTTGTCATGGGTGTTATGCAAGTGATGTCTTACGTAAGATTTCAAAATGGCAAACAGAATAAGAGAAGTTTCTTGGGGGAATGTTGCCGTAGTAAAATGCCAATCAGAATTTCTCTTTTTCTTTCTGTTTCCCTCCTTTCTCTTGCCTTCATTTCATCTTGTTTTCACGTCAACGGGAATGTCTCGGAAAAAAAGAAGATACATATGTTTCTGATGCATGTCGGTTGCATAGGGAAGAAAGCATTTTTGATAGTGACACCAGTGATTGGGTAGAGAGAATGCATGTTTGGTATGGATGTGTATATGGATGGAGGTGGTCACGTGGTATAACCCCTGTACAAGAATTTGGTACACCATTTCATTATTATTCCACAACATGGCATTAACAGTGTACAGTATTAGTTATCACTTATTAAAAATCATTCCATACATTATTTTCATTGAAAAATTTATGTCTAAAGAAGTATGTGAATATGTATCTTGTTAAAAAAAAAAAGTGTTTACAGTAACCATCTGTTCTTTATCAAGTCCTATGAAGTGTGTTGTAAATTTGATCACTGGAGTGGAGGCTGTCGAGGAGAAAGCTGTATTGATGTAATTTTTTTTTTTTTTTTTTTTTTTTTTTTTTTGCCTTTTTTCATCACTGGTGTAGCAAAATCATGAAATATGACACTTGTTGGCATTTATTCTTGTCAAGTAACATGAGAAAAACTTTGCAGAACTCACATGCATTGTTGTTTCACATTGATTGCCTCTGATTTTTGACAAGTGATGATTCCAGATGAGCAAGTGTTGGTAAGAAGCATAAACATGTTTGTGTTACTGTGGTGAATGCCACATCCTGATTGAGGATCTTGATCTTTATCATCATTTACTGCAAGTTAGAAATGGTTCAGGTAATTTTGGCACTTGGTTGTTGCTAGTTGTGGAAAAAAAACAAATTTTGTGTCACGAAAAGAAAAGGATGGATGAATCCTCTAATGTTTCCCATTTACAAAAATCAAGTAGATATATATATATATATTAAAAATATAAAAAACAAAATAACAAAATAAAAAACTAAAAAAAAAAAAAAAAAATACAAAACAGCTGTGGGAAAATTGCTAACTTTGGCAGAATGCTCTGATTTTTTTTTCTGTTTTAAAAATTAACATTTTTATTATTATTATTATTATTAATTTTTTATTTTTTATTTTTACTTTTTTCACTTTGCTTTCTCCCTCAAGAAATAGTTTTGTGTTATACTCATCACATTTCTTGAACTAAACCCCTCCCGTGTAAGGTAGTGTGAGAGTATTTATATTTTGAGTACTTTGTTCTGTGTTCTGTATTGAATGTTAACAAGTTGTTAATAAATTAAGAATTGCCACCCTCCTTTTTTTCTTTTCTTTTTTTTTTTCTTTTAAATCTAGGGGCACCATTAAAGTATGGTAGTGTTGCCTGATGTGAGACATTGCCACATGAAAGTGTGTTTCCTAGTCTGATCCACATGCTGTTTGTAAGGAAGTAGATTTTGGTTCTTTGTATGTGTATTACGCTTATTTTCTCTGTGTTTATTCATTTCCCCCAAATAGTGCTATATATATATATCGTATATATTTAGCTGGTGGTAGGAGAGGGCCCAGAATAAACAGGTAATATAGCTGCAGGTCATACTATAAAAGCCAACCTTATGTCAAGATTAATTAAGTTGTATCTCAGGTGTTCATTAGGCTTAATTTACCTTGACTAGTGAGGACTTGTTATACTATGATTTGTTAAGTAGGAATTTAGTGTAAGTTCTTCATTCATGTCACACAATTGTTTTGTGTAATTTTTGCCCAGTTCAGAGTAATACACTACCAGATGTGCAGAATGCCCTCTATGAGACTTGCCGTAGAATTTGTGGATTTGGTACAGTATTGCAGTAATCCAGATTTGGTTGTAAGTTTATTGAAAATTACTATTAAAGAACTTACAAGCAATTAGTTGATTACTAACATACCTGGCCATTTCCCATGTCCCTTAGCGGTAGTGGATGTAGACTTTTGCACGTGATGAGGAATTATGCCCTCATAGAATTGTCAGTTGAGATGACTGTGAAAATACCATCAGCAGGGTAGTGTGTTGAGGGCTGGAGGATGACATCAGTAAGCTTAGTGCAAAAAATTCATAGAAAAGTTTAATAATAATTAAATAATTATAAGACTCAAAAATTGAAGTTCTTTGTCACTGGCTTGCTCATTTGTCTGCTTCCAGCCCATTAGTATGTTTGTTGTGCGTTTCTTCAGTGCGGTATCCACAGTCCTTTTATCTCTGTTTTAAGAGATGGAGGTTTAGTGTGACAGAACATTTTGATATTCTGCTATTTGTGCAAACTTAGCAAAATAAAAAAAAAGTATTTTACAAGAGGATGATATTGTATTTTTCTCCTTGAATCGGTGGGACAGGATTGATTTACGGAAGTGGATTTTTTACCATGATCCAAAGCTTCTTAGATATTGACACAGGATTTTGGTGCATAATTCACTAAAATGTACAAAAATTGAATTAGAAAATAAGAAGTGTCAAGAACTTTTAATACAAGTGGCAATTTTGGGTTTACTTTAATAAAGAAGAGCATTTTAATATCAAAATAATTTCAAAGCACCCCCCCAAAAAAAAATTCAAAATGAAGATCTGAACCATATTGCAGAATGAAATAAATAAATGGAAGCCAATTTTTTTTTCATTAATTCTGAATGCAAAAAAAAAAAAAAAAAAAAAAAAAAAAAAAAAGTCTAACTGTAAGTGCCAAAAGTCAACAACTGGTCATTCAAAACTTGATGTGAAATGTCAAAACAGTTAACCTTTGCCGCTGGATGTTTTCTGTGCTGTCATACCGAGAATGGCTATATTTCCAGAGATATATATGTCATGCTACCTGTATCCGAGTCCAATCACTGTTTGTGACTAACCCTTCTAGTCACCACAGCACATGGGTTGAACAATAGGTGCCTTATGGAAACTTATTAAGCCTAATGTAAGGGATCTCCCCATCCATGGACCTCAACCCTCACCTCAAATAATTTTGCATGGTCTTCTCTTCCTTTTTTTTTTTTTTTTCCTTCTCTTCTTCATTCCCTTCTGTCCAGTTCCCCCAATCTCTTGCTTGTTTTGTGTGTGTGCGTGCGTGTGCGTGTGCGTGTACGTGTGTGTGTGTGTGTGTGTGTGTGTGTGTGTGTGTGTGTGTGTGTGTGTGTGTGTTGTGTGCGTGCGTGCGTGCGTGCGTGCGTGCGTGCGTGCGTGCGTGCGTGCGTGCGTGCGTGTGCGTGTGCGTGTGCGTGTGCGTGTGTGTGTGTGTGCGTGCGCGTGTGCATGTGCGCGTGTGTGTGTGCGTGTGTGTGTGTGCGTGTGTGTGCGTATGTGTGTGTGTGTGTGAGCGTGCGTGTGTGTGTGAGCGTGCGCGTGCGTGTGTGTGTGTGTGTGTGTATGTGTGCGCGTGCATATTTATGTATGTATGTGTGTATGTATGAATGTATGTATGTATGTGTGTGTGTGTGTGTGTGTGTGTGTGTGTGTGTGTGTGTGTGTTGTGTGTGTGTGTGTGTGTGTGTGTGTGTGTGTGTGTTGTGTGCATTGTGTGTGGTGTGTGTGTGAGAGAGAGAGAGAGAGAGAGAGAGAGAGAGCCCTCACCTCAACTAATTTTGCATGACCTTTTCTTTTCTCCCTTTCCCTTTCTGTATCTTCACCCCCTTCTGTCCCATTCCTAAGGTGTTAGAGCCATGCTGAATGGATAAACTGCCTCTGGGAGCCATTGGCATTCCTTTGGTTAATTCCCCATTTTATTCAGGCTCACTATGGCTAATAATGAAGATTCTTTACCCCTGATAGGGGCATTAAGGCATGCTCCTTCATCACTAGCCTATTGTATTTGATTTTGTTGGTTTTCTGACCCCTGCCTCTCCCTTAACCATGGTTCCATCCACTGATACTAATACCCCCTTCTTGATGTTTACTAACAACTCTATCCATTCTGAACCACCCACACAGGTCATTACTAAACCTTTAGAATGCACCCCTTTCTCTCTCTCAACATTTTATACTCCCATCTACTACTGCACACACTTCAATGTCTACCCTTATTATTACTCTTCATCCTTATTGTACCTCCCCGCAGAACTACTCTACTCATCCTTCCACTGCCTCCACCTCTGCAAACATTTTGAGTACTCTCTTAGGCCCAGCCAAGTGGGATTGATTCTTTGTGATTCCCCCCCACAGCTCCTTACCCTTTCCATTCAATGTCAGAAATGGCATTTTGGCCACCTTGCCACTGTCGCTCCACAGCTCACTGCCCTCTGTGTGCCCAACCAAGTCATGACCATTCAAATTGCTCTGCTCAGTCACGTATATGTGCCAATTGTGATGACTCCTATAATGTATTTTATAGGAGTTGCCCTGCCTATAAGCTCGAATGTAAGGTACCAGTTCTCAAATTCAAGCTAGGCCTCACTCTATGTGAGGCAAGACAGGAAGCTTGGCGACGAGGTTTTTCTCTCTACTTATACCAAAACTGTCCTTCACTCTGCTCCTCTCCCATCCTCTCAAGAGGTCTCAGCATCTTCCCCAGTATCTATTCTCTCTACCTTGAACCATCCTACCTCTACTCCCTCCAAATGCCTTTTCCAGTCTAAAGCTAGATACTGCAATCTCTACTACTTCCCCGATACCTACCCCTCCTCCTCACATTACTTGTCGCACCAGGCAGCCTAAAGTTCCACTCCACCTTCTAACCATTACCCTTTTTGCCACAATACTTTATCATAGTGCTATATGATGTTTGATGCCTGGCACATTTCTTTTGACCATTTAAAAGTTCTGGGAATTTATAAATATCACCTCATGAGCCAAAAAATTTCCTTAACCAGGGGCTTTGCCCCCCGAGCCTCACCATAATGCTATATTTTGAATACGCCACCAATGAGTTTAGATGTTGACAAGGCAGAAAAGTGAAATGTACTTCAGACACTTTAAATAGACTGCTTTGTACTTTCTGTGCCCTTTTAATCATCTGTTGTTTTATATCAAAGGAATTATACCACTAGAAATTAAATTGGCAAAATTTGGAATGTCTAGTAAATTTTTATCATTTGTTTGCATTTAATCCCATTTAGAGATTTGATATAAAGAATGAAGGAAGCAGACTTTAATATCAGGGTTCTATTAAAGAACCCTGATATTAAAATCCCCTTTTTGTCTTTTGTCTTCTATAGTAAAATCCAAAGTCAGCATCAGAAAAAGCACACCACCTTACAAAATCTATTGTGGTATTACATAGAATTCCAAAGAGAGGATGCTGTAATGATGTAGTGAATAAATTGGGAACTTTTTCATGGTAACTGAGGAGAAACCATTAGAGCTTGTATGTCTTTAAGTTACTAAAAGGTAAAACAAGACCGCCAGTGGTTGAAACCGAGATGTTGACAGCTTGAGATTTTTTTTAGAGATTGTGGAAGGTACTGAAATACTAAATAGAGTACTGACTAGTAAAAAAGATAAAAAAAAAAAAAAAATGTCAGCTCAGGGAGTGAGTTACAGATTGATGTCAAAATCAAGCTATTTAGGGAGTGTACTGATATACAATGAGAAATTTGGTGCACAAAAAGAGACAGGATTAGCAAAACTATTTTTCTTTAATTTATTTACATGTTAAAGGATTGGAGGATGACAATGGAAACAAAATGTCTTGGACAGCAATGTCCTAAACAAAGAATGACATAGAGGAACTGAATAGCCTGTTATGAATGTATGGTAGCACAGAACCTAGTGCCCTCAGTGATGCCAGGGGCTCACCAACTGTGGAGGTAAAGGCTGCAAAATGGTTAAGCAGCAGTACAGAATACATAGGAGTATATATATATAATAATATACATTATATATATATATATATATATATATATATATATATATATATATATTATATACACATATATATATATACACACATACATACACACATACATACATACATACACACATACATACATACATACACACATACATACATACATACATACATACATACATACATACATACATACATACATACATACATACATACATACATACATACATACATACATATACAAAATAAAATAAAAGCAGTTTATGAAATTATTATTTGATTTAAAAGCAACCCCCATTCCTTGCCCATTGTTGTTGTGGGGGGGCTTAGGAGACGGAGACTAAGGCCCAATATAGGGATGATCCCTATCTTGGGTCTCAGCACCTGACAACTAATTTTGCATGGACTTTACTCCTTCATCTTTCCTTTTTTCCTTACCTTCCTTACCCCTTCCTCTATCCAATTCCTAAAATGTGAGAGCCGTGTTGAAAGGTTGAAAGGCTGACTTCGTGCCAGTCATGAACGGCTTCAGGGAGCCATGGGCATGGTATTCCCTTGGTAATTGTTTAGCCCTTACCCCTCATGGGCCACTGAGGGATGGACTGTTAATCCCCTTTAATTTTCAGGCTCACCATGGCCAATAATGAAGATTCCTTACCCTTAATAGAGGCATTAAAGGCTTGCCCCTTCAGCAAATAGCCTATCTGAATTTGATTTTGATGGTTTTCTGACCCCTGCCCCTCCTTTGACCACATCTCCAACCACTGATGCTAATACCCTCTCTTCGGCGCTTACGAACAACTCTAACCATTCTGAAACACCCACGCAGGTTATTTCTCAATCCTCTAAAAAATACCTTTTCCTCATCCCCAACATTCTCCTTTTCATCCCCTGCTGTACAACCCTCTTCAGTCAACTCCCTCTTCCCTTATTACTACTCTTCATCCTTATTGTCCTCCCCCCCGCAGAACTACTAGACTCACACCACCCCATCTTCCTCTCGCCCTCGTCCTTCTACTACCTCTACCTCTGCAAACCTTCTGGGTACTCTATTTGGCCCAGCCAAGTGGGATTGATTCTTTGTGATTCCCCCCAGCCCCTATTCTGAGAATACCCTTCTCTTTCAGCAGTGCCTCCAGAAACAAGTAGGCAAGGTTACCTTTCGCAGTCGCTCTGATCGTTCACGCCTTGTCACGGTTACATCTGAAGCTCAAGCTCGTGCACTATCTGCCCTAACTGACCTTACTGGCAAACCATTCCTGCCGAACCTCACCCAACTCTTAATACTTGTACTGGAACTGTTTCTATTCCCCCAAATGCTTGTCCCATGTATAACAAGGACTGGTCAGACTGAAAATGACCTACTTTCCTGCCTTGATGAATATGATGCAGTGGCAGTACAGTGTTACACTCTTCCTCCTAGAGGCCAACGTAAATCCCATGTCAATATTGCCAAGATTAGCTTCCATAGACAAGACCTCCCCCATGAGGTTTATATTGGTGGATTGTCTTATCATGTCCGACAATATCAACCCCTTCCTCGTCAATGTCAAAAATGTTGGCGTTTTGGCCACCCAGCCAAACATTGTCGCTCCACAGCCCATGCCCTCTATGTGCCCAACCTGGTCATGACCGTTCAAATTGCCCTGCTCAGTCACGTACATGTGCCAATTGTGGAGACTCCCATAATGTGTTTTATAGGAGCTGCCCTGCCTATAAGTTTGAATGTGAGGTAGCAGTCCTCAGATTTAAACTAGGCCTCACTCTACGTGAGGCCAGACAGGAAGCATGACGAGGTTTTTCTCTCTCAACTTATTCCAAAACAGTGCGCTCATCTACACAAATATTTCTGCATCTCCCCAGGTATCTTTTCCCATACCCAAAACCTACGTCCTATGTCTACTCACCCTATCCACCAGTCAAATCCATTTTCCATCCTAAATCCAGATACTCCAATCTCTACCACTTCCCGGATACCTACCCCTCCTCACTTTAGTTGTCATACCAGACAACCTAAACGTTCCACTCCACACTCTCCTACTACATTCTCTCCTACACCTTCCTCTTCATCTGTTCCTCAGATATCCATCTCCTCTTCTCCTCCTTATAAGAGAACCTTTGTTTCTCAGTCCTCTATACCAAATTCCCCTCCAGAAACCCTTGAAGACATCCAGAACTTCCTAAAGATGACCCAAGGGAACACTCCGCTCCCTCATCCACCCCCAATCCCTCTGTTCCTACTCCTGCTACATTTAAAGTATTTGCAGATATTCATCCTCCTCCTCCTTCCCTTCCCAAGTTCCCTCCACCCCCTTTCTGCTACACCCTCTCAACATACCCCACCCTCTCTACTTCACTTGAATACTCACGAATCCTCCTATCACAACAGTGCCCTTCTCCAGACCCCTCCTCTCCAGACATTTTTCCTAATGCTTCACCACCTTCCCCAGTCTCCCTTTCTCAACCTCTGGATTCTTCTCCTACTTCTCCAACAGCCACCTGTTTTCCTTGATCAATATCCCTATTCCTTCCCCAGTCAGAGATACACTGCAATTCACTCAGTTGCTTTACCTCTTATATTCCCCCAAACCCTTCCCAAAATACCTCATCCTCTCAACCACCCAAACTACCCATACACCCCCTCCCCAACCCCATCCTTCCCTACTATTCCTCCCACTCCTTCCTGGATACACACGTGAATCTCATTTATCACATTACCTTTCCCCAGACCCCACCGTCCCTATCTAACCCCCAGACACTACTCCACCTACTCCTGATCCTTTATCTCAATCCTCAGATACCTAATCCCCTTCTACTAAGACAACCATATCTACCTTTCTCACCTATTATCCCTCTTCCTTCCCCAGTCACAGATACAATACAATTAATTTAATTGCTCTACTTCCTTAACCTTTCCCACCTATTAATCACTACTCTACTTCATTTACTTCCCTTCTTTCCCTTTTCATTACCATACTCTCCTACAACACTCTCTAATCTTTGATATCTAACACCCTCCCCTCTCCCCGGATTCTTCTCTTACTCTTCAACAGCTATCTCTATTCTTCCTTGAACATTTCTCCTATACCTTCCCCAATGACAGATACACTGTAATTCACTAAATCGCCCTACCCTCTCCTTTATACTAATTTCTGATCTAATTCATTTGCTCCCCAATTCCCCCTTTTCACTACCCTACTATCCTATAACCTTCTTAAACCTTTGACATCTAACACATTTCATCGTAATCTTTAACTCTCCTTTGCCCTTTCAGATGCAATACTTTACCATAGTGCTACATGACCTATGTTGTCTAGCACATTT